ACTGATGCTGGGCTCAAAATATTTTCTACCCTCAATGGCCATACTCCAGCCCTCTTAACGTCTGAAGGACCATAAACCGGCCCTTTGTTTGAAAAGTTTGGATATGAAGCAGTATTCCTCCCACTGACACCACTTATGGGGTACTATTCCTCCCATTAATACCAACGATGGGGCACTACTTTTCCTCCTTCTGACCACCAACTCTGAGGCCATGCTATTTCTTACTGATGCTGGGCGTGAAATAGGTTCTACCCCCCACTGACTATACTCCCGCCCTCTTAACTTCTAAAGAACCATAAACCGGCCCTTTGTTTGAAAAGTTTGGATATGAAGCAGTATTCCTCCCACTGACACCAACAATGGGTCACTACTCTTCCTCCTACTGACCACCAACCCTGAGGCCATGTTTATTCTTACTGATGCTGGGCCTGAAATATGTTCTGCCCCCCACTGGCCATACTCTGACCCTCTTAAAGGCTGAAGGACCATAAACCGGCCCTTTGTTGAAAAGTTTGGATGTGAAGCAGTATTCTTCCCACTGACACCAACAATGGGGCACTATTTCACTGATAACACTTATGGGGTACTATTCCTCCCATTAATACCAACGAGGCACTACTCTTCCTCCTACTGACCACCAACCCTGAGGCCATGTTTATTCTTACTGATGTTAGGCATGAAATATGTTCTGCCCCTACTGGCCATACTCTGGCCCTCTTATCGTCTGAAGGACCATAAACCGGCCCTTTGTTTGAAAAGTTTGGAGACTCTTGAAATAGAGGAACCATACAAGAATCTGGTATCCACTAATAGAAGACAAGACACATATTTGCCAACAGTCCCGGATTTCCCGGGACAGTCCTGTTATTTTTTTTTTAAATTTAATTGTCTTGCCTTAGCTACGTCCCAAGTGGTGTCCTGGGATCAGAGCCGGGGGGGCATTGGAGGCAGAGGTTTTACATTGATGTCACCTGTACATTTACCGACAGGAGGCGGGACAGAGAATAAATGATTGACCACCATGGTGTAATGATAATCAGATCAAGACATTGTAACAAAAATGTATATATTGATACCATTATTTTGCTGTATAACCTGTGTGTGATCATCAACATCACCTAATAGAAGAAAGGATGGCGGGGCCGAGGAACGTAACCTAGACTGTAGTATTTATATTAAACACAAGGTGGTCATCTCACATATCTTTTATGGAGCACAAGGACAGGAAGTGTGGTCAGGTACAGACAGGAAGTTCCGGGTGAGAGGTGAGTCAGGCGGAAGTAGAGAGGAGACATTGGTGGAAGTGGTTGTAGAGGAGGTAAGAAGATCTTATTTTATATTTACATCCAGTAACCCCCCCCGTCATGTCCGTCCTCTTCCTCCACCGTCATGTCCGTCCTCTTCCTTCATCGTTACTGTGATGTCTTTTATGGTTTATAGACTGGATACGTCCTAAATATAGAGCCATTTATCTAACCGTCCATCCAGAGCCTCTGGTTTATAGACCGGATACGTCCTAAATATAGAACCATTTATCCAACCGTCTATCCAGAGCCTCTGGTTTATAGACCGGATACGTCCTAAATATAGAACCATTTATCCAACCGTCCATCCAGAGCCTCTGGTTTATAGACCGGATACGTCCTAAATATAGACCCATTTATCCAACCGTCCATCCAGAGCCTCTGGTTTATAGACCGGATACGTCCTAAATATAGACCCATTTATCCAACCGTCCATCCAGAGCCTCTGGTTTATAGACCGGATACGTCCTAAATATAGAACCATTTATCCAACCGTCCATCCAGAGCCTCTGGTTTATAGACCGGATACGTCCTAAATATAGACCCATTTATACAACCGTCCATCCAGAGCCTCTGGTTTATAGACCGGACACGGCCTAAATATAGAACCATTTATCCAACCGTCCATCCAGAGCCTCTGGTTTATAGACTGGATAAATCCTAAATATAGAGCCATTTATCCAACCGTCCATCCAGAGCCTCTGGTTTATAGACCGGATACGTCCTAAATATAGAGCCATTTATCCAACCGTCCATCCAGAGCCTCTGGTTTATAGACCGGATACGTCCTAAATATAGACCATTTATCCAACCGTCCATCCAGAGCCTCTGGTTTATAGACCGGATACGTCCTAAATATAGAACCATTTATCCAACCGTCCATCCAGAGCCTCTGGTTTATAGACCGGACACGTCCTAAATATAGAACCATTTATCCAACCGTCCATCCGGAGCCTCTGGTTTATAGACCGGATACGTCCTAAATATAAAACCATTTATCCAACCGTCCATTCCGGAGCCTCTGGTTTATAGACCGGATACGTCCTAAATATAGAACCATTTATCCAACCGTCCATCCAGAGCCTCTGGTTTATAGACTGGACACGTCCTAAATATAGAACCATTTATCCAACCTTCCATCCAGAGCCTCTGGTTTATAGACCGGATACATCCTAAATATAGAACCAAATCTCCATCCTCCATTAAGCTGTCTTGGGGTTGTCGGCTACAGTACAATTTCTAATCGAGGCAGCAGAAGGAAAGAACACATCCTTACAGTACATAGAATAAGGGATAAAGCTTCTGAATGTTGTGATTTGATGGAAGTGATGCTGCAATTCTGTACCTCATAGTATATGTTGGTGGAGGATTGTTGGTTCTCTTTGGCTCCACACCATAACTTGACTGATTGTCCTATTTTAATCACGTGATCTTGAAAACCAATCACAGCACAAATGCCCCCAGACCTGTTTTGGTGGAGTTGGCTGTCAGGGTGACATCAATGTGCCCAGTACATGCAGTGTCCAGTGACACCAATAGTACGGGGCTCACAATATAGATATTCCTGGCCACTGTGTGCACAGAACAATGTCATGTCTACAGTGATATGAACAAGGTTTGCAATATAGTATGAGAATACTTTGGAGGTGTCAGAACTATGGAGGAACTAAGCAGGAACTATGGAGGAACTCTGTGCAGACATTATTTGCCCCAGTACAGTCCAGATAATTCTCAGTTTACTCTTCGTCTACAGAGAGGAGAGTCCTGTTCATATGAGGAGGAGGTGAGGAGGATCCTGAGGGTATTTCGAAGGACACAAGGATCTCTACAAGGACGTCATGATGGACAATCAGCCGCCCCTCACATCACTGGGTAAGAGGAGACTTTATTGTAAAGGAGAGAGCAGTACGGAGGATCCACCTAGATCCCCCATCATCTGATAAACACATAGAAACAATGGATTCAGTCAGTATGTGTGTTTCTTACAGATGGATCCAGTCATGGGAACCCACCAGAGAGATGTCCTCGTCCTCTGTATTTCCAGGATTCCACACAGGAAGGTCACACCATCCCTCACCATCATCAGGTAGATGGATCCAGTCATGGGAACCCACCAGAGAGATGTCCCCGTCCTCTGTATTCCCACGATTCCACACAGGAAGGTCACACCATCCCTCACCATCATCAGGTAGGTGGATCCAGTCATGAGAACCCACCAGAGAGATGTTCCTGTCCTCTGTATCCCAGGAATTCCACTAATAATGGGAACTCACCAGAGAGATGTCCCCGTCCTCTGTATTCTTGGGATTCTATACAGGAAGATCACACCATCCCTCACCATCTTAAGGCAGATGAATCCAATAATGGGAACTCACCAGAGAGATGTCCCCATCCTCTGTATTTCCGGGATTCCATACAGGAAGGTCACACCATCCCTCACCATCCCTCACCATCATCAAGTAGATTGATCCATTAATGGGAACCCACCAGAGAGATGCCCCCATCCTCTGTATTCCCGGGATTCCATACAGAAAGATCACACCATCCCTCACCATCATCAGTTAGGTGGGAGCCAACCATGTAGTCCTAAAATATAGTCTAAGCTACGTAATCTCGTTTCTTTTTATCAATGTTTTTTTTGGACTTTAGGGTGAAGAACTGAAAGACATCAAAGTTGAGATCAAAGAAGAAGAAGAGATGTTGGTTACTGAAGATCAGCAGTCTATGGAGGAGAGAGATCCTCTGTATTCCCGGGATTCCCACCGAAAAGACCACACTCACGGAGACAATGATCAGGTAGATGGGGCCGGCAAAAAGTAACAAAAACAAAGTACATTTTATGGGATGAAATTCTTCTATGAAGTCTCTTTCTCCTTTTATTCTGTCATCTTTGGGGTTTAGGATGAAGATCTGGAAGACATCAAAGTTGAGGTTAAAGAGGAAGAAGAAGAGATGTTGGTGAGTGGAGATCAGCAGTCTATGGAGGAGGAGGAGATGGTCCTGGAAAGTAAACTGGAGGAACCTTCTCTACATACGGACACAAGTAAGTCATAAACATTAAATGAAGAATCAGTTCACATTTTGAATTCCTATATACGAGTATGAAGGATGTATTTACATTGTTAGATGGGTTGATGTCCATCAAGAGTGTCCACTCCAAAATGGAAAAAAAAAATGGAAACACAATCCTAAACCTACAGTATATCCAAAGGATCTCCTGAATGTATATGTGATTTTTTTTTTTTACACTTTTCTTTAAAAATGTTCTTACAGATGGACGCTTTTTTCGGAAAACCTCGTGGGGAGATCCGATGTTGCCTCCAGGTTTCAAGGCAGAAGATAAAGACATCACACAACGTTCTCCAGGAGAAGATCTCATTACTCCACCTACACATCACAGACCTTCCCATCTGGGGAGATCAATGGATTCTTCTAATCCTGAGGAATCTTCTGATAAATTCCATACTATGACTTCAGATGTCCATCTAAGATCAATGGATCCTTCTAATCCTGAGGAATCTTCTGAACATTTTCAAGATATCCACCTGAGATCTCACAGTTCGGTTCAATCAACACATCCATCTAACCCCAAGGAGTCTTCTTTATATGACAGAGGGAGTTTATTTTCCTCTTTAGAATGTGAGAACCCTCACACTAACAACAGAGCACCATCTAAACAGCGGAAAAGTCACACGGGAGAGCGTCCTTTTCCGTGCTCAGAGTGCGGGAAATGTTTTACGGACAAAGCAACACTACGTAGGCACCAGAGAAGTCACACGGGTGAGCGTCCTTTCTCATGTTCAGAGTGCAGGAAATGTTTCACTGATAAAGGAACGCTTCATGGACACCAGAGAATTCACACAGGAGAGCGCCCTTTTTCTTGTTCAGAGTGCGGGAAAAGTTTCCCCTATCAAAGAAGCCTACTGTTACACCAGAAAACTCACACTGGCAGACTTCCTTTTTCTTGCACAGAGTGTGGGAAATATTTCATTACGAAACAATACCTTCGTATACACCAGGGAATTCACACAGGAGAGCATTCTTTCTCCTGTTCAGAGTGTGGGAAATGTTTCACTATGAAGCAAAACCTCCTTAAGCACCAGAGAATTTCACACAGGCGAGCGTCCTTTTTCTTGCTTAGAGTGCGGGAAAAGTTTCCTTACCAAAGAATATCTTATCATACACCAGAGAATTCACACGGGCGAGCGTCCTTTCTCATGTTCAGAGTGCGAAAAATGTTTCATTAAGAAACAAGACCTTCTTAAACACCAGAAAAGTCACACGGGCGAGCGCCCTTTTCCTTGCTCGGAGTGCGGGAAATGTTTCACTACCAAGAGATACCTTGTTCAGCACCAGAGAATTCACACGGATGAGCGTCCTTTTCCATGTTCGGAGTGCGGAAAATGTTTTATTTCTAAACAAAAACTTATTGTCCACCGGACCATTCACACAGTCGAGCGTACTTTTTCCTGTTCGGAGTGCGGGAAATGTTTCACTACGAAAAGATACCTTGTTCAGCACCAAAGAATTCACACGGGGGAGCGCCCTTTTTCGTGTTCAGATTGCGGGAAATGTTTCACTCAGAAAATAAGCCTCCTTAGACACCAGAAATGTCACCTAGGTGAGCATCTTGCCCATGTCCAGAGTGCAGCAAAGGCTTTACGGTCCTAGAAAATCTAATTAGGTGTCAGAGAATTCACACTACCTGATTGCTGGTGGCAACTGTATGGTGGCATTTGACTGATGAAGCAGTCCAATACGTGGGAGAGTCTTTCTCAACCTTTGTAACCTGGAGGAACCCTTGAAATAACTTTTTTTGGGTTCAAGGAACCCCTGATGATAATTCTATATCTACAGCTCACAGTACATTAGTGTGAAGGTCACTGGGGAGAATGCTCCTCACACTTGTGGTCAATGAGAAGAACGCTCCTTACGCTTGTGGTCACTGAGAAGAATGCGCCTCACACTTGGGGTCATTGGGAAGAATGCGCCTCACACTTGGGGTCATTGGGAAGAATGCGCCTCACACTTGTGGTCATTGGGAAGAATGCTCCTCACACTTGTGGTCAGTGGGAAGAATGCGCCTCGCACTTGTGGTCTGGGAAGAATGCGCCTCACACTTGGGTCATTGGGAAGAATGCGCCTCACACTTGGGGTCATTGGGAACAATGCTCCTCACACTTGTGGTCATTGGGAAGAATGCTCCTCACACTTGTGGTCAGTGGGAAGAATGCGCCTCGCACTTGTGGTCATTGGGAAGAATGCGCCTCGCACTTGTGGTTACTAGGAAGAATGTCCCATTATTGTTATCAGTGGGAGGAACAGTGCCCCAAGGGCCAGATAAAGGCAACCAAAGGGCCACATCCGGCCTCTGGGCCACATTCACTATATCCGCTCTCCCCGGATCCCGCATTCACTATATCCGCTCTCCCCGGACCCCGCATTCACTATATCCGCTCTCCCCGGACCCCGCATTCACTATATCCGCACTCCCCGGACCCCGCATTCACTATATCCGCACTCCCCGGACCCCGCATTCACTATATCCGCTCTCCCCGGACCCCGCATTCACTATATCCGCTCTCCCCGGATCCCGCATTCACTATATCCGCTCTCCCCGGATCCCGCATTCACTATATCCGCTCTCCCCGGACCCCGCATTCACTATATCCGCTCTCCCCGGACCCAGCATTCACTATATCCGCACTCCCTGGACCCCGCATTCACTATATCCGCTCTCCCCAGACATATGCGACTTCTATCAGTATCCAGCAGAGCTTGTAGGAGGAGTTTTCATTTTGCCCTAGGAGGATGCAGAACCCCTGACCTCTGTCTGGACAGCGCTGATTGGCCCTGTGCTCTCCAAAACAAAAGAAAAACCCTTTCTAGCAGGAGATAAGAGAGTGGGGGTAGAGGAAGAAGGGGAGAATCAGAGAAGACAGGATCAAACAGCCTTTTTAACCCCTTAGGTTCCACAGTGAGTATCACAAGCATGCTTTGCTACATCTACAGACTGATTGTACTGTTGGGGGTCCAGTAACACTTTATCATCTATCATAGATGTCTAGGATGAGGGTCTGGCAGAGAAGGAGAATCGCTGGCCATGTAATAAAGGAGCCCAGGCTGTTGCCCGGCATCACACATTTGCGGCTTTACTGAAGAAGGTGGTCCCATCAGTACAAATGTAATTTATTTGACTCCAATTTATACTCAATTGATATGATTTTCATTTGATTCAGTTTTATTGTCTGTTAATTATTTTTTTCTTAACAATGGAAAATAAAAAGGTCAGCTCTTCTCCTTTCGATATTCTGTTCTGAGTCCCTTTTTTGGGGGAGGGGTAATATTAAAAATTCATATTCAGCCGTCACCGTGCCCTATCGAGCGATCGGCTCAGAAACACGTAACAGGATTCTGTTAATACCACCAGACAGTGACCCCCCCCCCTCCCAGGACATCCGAGGTATATCGTATTTAGTCTCTATAGAATGGTAATTTCATGATGAACAATAATTGGTGGGTCAGGGGGGGGGGGGGGGGGGGGGGGGGGGGGGGGGGTCCACATTGCAGCGTGCAGTACAATCACGATTTGAAGCCATACACAAACAAAAAGAAGGCGCACCAGCCTAGCGCATTATATTTATAGCCAATTTATTGATAAAATTATATGTGATAAGTGATATATTCATAAAGCAATGTGTATACAAACTCATCGATGTATATGCAGGAACAAAGTGTACGGGATTATATTCACAAGAAGGAGCCACGCAGGTCCGGAAGGCTGACACGTTTCGAGGGGAAAACCCCTCTTTCTCAGAGGTGTGTAGGGGGCTGCTTTGAAAGCAGTGGTTTGGTGGGCAGCATTGGAGGCAGAGGTATAATGAGAGGGGAGGGCATTGGAGGCAGTGGTGTGCTGGGAGGGCATTGGAGGCAGTGGTGTGCTGGGGGAGCATTGGAGGCAGTGATGTGCTGGGGGGGCATTGGAGGCAGTGATGTGCTGGGGGGGGCATTGGAGGCAGAGGTATAATGAGAGGGGAGGACATTGGAGGCAGTGGTGTGCTGGGGGGGAGGCATTGGAGGCAGAGGTATAATGAGAGGGGAGGGCATTGGAGGCAGTGGGTGTGCTGGGGGGAGCATTGGAGGCAGTGATGTGCTGGGGGGGGGCATTGGAGGAAGAGGTATAATGAGAAGGGAGGACATTGGAGGCAGTGGTGTGCTGGGGGGGGGGGGGCATTGAAGGCAGTGGTGTGCTGGGGGCATTGGAGTCAGAGGTATAATGAGAGGGGAGGACATTGGAGTCAGTGGTGTGTGCTGGGGGGGCATTGGAGGCAGAGGTATAATGAGAGGGGAGGGCATTGGAGGCAGAGGTGTGTTGGGTGGCATTGGAGGCAGTGGTCTGCTGGGGGGGCATTGGAGACAGAGGTGTGCTGGGTGGCATTGGAGGCAGTGGTGTGCTGGGGGCAGTGGAGGCAGAGGTGTTCTGGGGGGGGCATTGGAGACAGAGGCGTGCTGGGGGGCAGTGGAGGCAGTGGTCTGCTGGGTGGGTGGTAATGGAGACAGAGGTGCTGGGGGGGCATTGGAGGCAGAGGTGTGCTGGGTGGCAGTGGAGGCAGAGGTGTGCTGGGTGGGGGCAGTGGAGGCAGAGGTGTGCTGGGGGCAGTGGAGGCAGAGGTGTGCTGGGGGGCAGTGGAGGCAGAGGTGTGGGGGGGGCAGTGGAGGCAGAGGTGTGCTGGGGGCATTGAGGCAGAGGTGTGCTGGGGGGGCATTGGAGGCAGAGGTGTGTGCTGGGTGGGCAGTGGAGGCAGAGGTGTGCTGGGGGCAGTGGAGGCAGAGGTGTGCTGGGGGCATTGGAGGCAGAGGTGTGTGGGGGCATTGGAGGCAGAGGTGTGTGCTGGGGGGGCATTGGAGACAGAGGTATGCTGAGAGGGTGTGGGGGCATTGGAGGCAGTGGTGTGCTGGGGGGGCATTGGCAGAGTGTGCTGGGGGAGGCATTGGAGGCAGAGGTGTGCTGGGGGGGGCATTGGAGGCAGAGGTGTGCTGGGGGCATTGGAGGGACAGTGGTGTGGGGGGGGCATTGGGCAGCAGGTGTCTTGGGGGGGCATTGGAGGCAGAGGTGTGTGGGGGGGGCATTGGAGGCAGAGGTGTGGGGGGGGCATTGGAGGCAGTGGTGTGCTGGGGGGGGGGGGCATTGGAGGCAGAGGTGTGCTGGGGGGCATTGGAGGCAGAGGTGTGCTGGGGGGCATTGGAGGCAGAGGTGTGCTGGGGGGGGGGGGGGGGCATTGGAGGCAGAGGTGTGCTGGAGGCAGAGGGGGGCATTGGAGGCAGAGGTGTGCTGGGGGGCAGTGGAGGCAGAGGTGTGCTGGGGGGCATTGGAGGCAGAGGTGTGCTGGGGCAGTGGAGGGGGCTGGGGGGCATTGAGGCAGAGGTGTGCTGGGGGGGCATTGGAGGCAGAGGCAGAGGTGTGCTGGGGGCATTGGAGGCAGAGGTGTGCGAGGGGGGCATTGGAGGCAGAGTGGTGTGCTGGGGGCATTGGAGGCAGAGGTGTGCTGGGGGGCAGTGGAGGCAGAGGTGTGCTGGGGGCAGGGCATTGGAGGCAGAGGTGTGCTGGGGGGCATTGGAGGCAGAGGTGTGCTGGGGTGGCATTGGAGGCAGAGGTGTGGGGGGCATTGGAGGCAGAGGTGTGCTGGGGGGCATGTGGAGGCAGAGGTGTGCTGGGGTGGCATTGGAGGCATTGGAGGCAGAGGTGTGCTGGGGGCAGTGGAGGCAGAGGTGTGCTGGGTGGCATTGGAGGCAGAGGTGTGCTGGGGGGCAGTGGAGGCAGAGGTGTGCTGGGTGGCAGTGGAGGCAGAGGTGTGCTGGGTGGCAGTGGAGGCAGAGGTGTGCTGGGTGGCAGTGGAGGCAGAGGTGTGCTGGGTGGCAGTGGAGGCAGAGGTGTGCTGGGTGGCAGTGGAGGCAGAGGTGTGCTGGGTGGCAGTGGAGGCAGAGGTGTGCTGGGGGCAGTGGAGGCAGAGGTGTGCTGGGTGGGCAGTGGAGGCAGAGGTGTGCTGGGGGGCATTGGAGGCAGAGGTGTGTGCTGGGTGGGCATTGGAGGCAGAGAGGTGTGCTGGGGGGCAGTGGAGGCAGAGGTGTGCTGGGGGCAGTGGAGGCAGAGGTGTGCTGGGGGCAGTGGAGGCAGAGGTGTGCTGGTGGGCATTGGAGGCAGAGGTGTGCTGGGGGGCAGTGGAGGCAGAGGTGTGCTGGGGGCATTGGAGGCAGAGGTGTGCTGGGGGCAGTGGAGGCAGAGGGTGTGCTGGGTGGCATTGGAGGCAGAGGTGTGCTGGGTGGCATTGGAGGGCAGAGGTGTGCTGGGGGCAGTGGAGGCAGAGGTGTGCATTGAGGGTGGCATTGGAGGCAGAGGTGTGCTGGGGGCAGTGGAGGCAGAGGTGTGCTGGGTGGGCATTGGAGGCAGAGGTGTGCTGGGTGGGCATTGGAGGCAGAGGTGTGCTGGGGGCAGTGGAGGCAGAGGTGTGCTGGTGGACCTTGGAGGCAGAGGTGTGCTGGGTGGCATTGGAGGCAGAGGTGTGCTGGGGGGCAGTGGAGGCAGAGGTGTTGGGGGCATTGGAGGCAGAGGTGTGCTGGGACATTGGAGGCAGAGGTGTGCTGGGTGGCATTGGAGGCAGAGGTGTTCTGGG